GAAGTAGAGTTGACCTCAGTGACATGGTGGAGGAAATCCGTAAGGACTTTCCTTGTCTAACGCACACGACGCAAAATGAGAGCACAGTAATCAGTAATCCTGATGTGAACTTCATGGTGTACTGATAAAGGAAAATGGAATTCACACAAAACTAAAAGGTGTATAAAGAGTGATAGCACTGGCAATAGTGAGTGGAAATGGACTGGTATTGGGCACTTTGTGTCAAGCAATCATATGGCTCATTATGATGGGAATGGCAAGTTGAGTAGGAACAGTCACTGTACCCTTAAATAAGAGTACTTCAAGATCCACCTGGAAGTGCAATGCTACCTGTGATAGGATAATACCCACACATCAACAGCAACGTCTAGTTAATATAACTGTTATTCAATTTACACTAAAATAAATGATGAAGAACATAAAGAATTATATCAACTTCTTCAAGCTGAGACTGATTGAACATGCAGTCATGCTGCCTTTATAATCACTGGCACTGAAACGCAAAAACGACACACAGACAAAGCAGTAGTTAGAAAATATGCCCTTCAAGATAGAAGCAATGCTGGCATTTGTATGATAGCAGTCTGAAATAGCAATGCCTTATTCCTTGCAAACACCCTTTTTCAACACCATAAACAGCGACTTTATACTTGACTTTCACTAAATGAACTATACAGGAAATGATTTGACTGCGTGGGAATAAATGATAGGGAAGCTCCATAACAGTCTAGGAGCCAACTGTGGAACAGTTTACTCATAAGTAAATTCAGACTGGAACTGAAGAAAATTAAAATGAGCTCACAGAAGTTGAAATACAACTTTGAGGATATGCCACCTGAATTGAAAGAACATATCAAGCACAGATTTGACACATTAACATTTTAAATGGCTGAAGGTTTTATGAGTTGTGGGATGGCATTAAGATTGCACATGAGAAAAGCAAAAGGCAACTAAAAGGACAGGAAAGAAAGAAAACATCAAAATAGATGTAAGACAAGATTCTTGAACTTGCTTTTTCAATATGAAGTAACTAAAGCAAATGGAAGAATTGAAGAAAGAAGGAAAAAGATGCTCAGCATATCTCAGACTGCAAGACCAGAAAAAATAACCCAAGCTTTGAGTTTCACTATTGGTGGATTCTATGGATAGAATATTGCATGATGCAAGAAGCATCGAAAGAAATGAGGAGGAAAACAATGTCACGGTATTGGTCAACACGTAACCAAGAGGTAGCATCTGATCAAGAACCAATGGTATTAAAGGAAGAACTCTGAGCTTTGCTGAAGACATTAGCAAAACTCAAAGTCCCATGAATTTTTGGACTACCAATTAAAATATTTCAACAATTTGATGAAGCACCTGTTCTTTTATGCCAAAAAATTTTCAAGAGAGCTACCTGGCCAGTAGACTGGAAGATACCCATATTTGTGTCCATTACAAAAAGAGATGACCAAAGAGGATGTGAAAATTATCGAACATCATCATTAACAAGGCATGCAGGTGAACTGCTGAAAATAATTCCCAAATAAATATAGCAATATATCCAAAAGGAGCTGCCAGAAACTCAACCCTGATTCAGAAGATGACTTTTGTTGTTAGGTGCCAGTTAGTCTGTCCCATGCCAGTTCTAGCTCCACCTCTGTTTTATTCTCCACTCTGTGATCAGAACTATTTCCTGCAAGCACAAAGCCCATCATCGTCTCCTTTGTGAAAGCATTTGCTGACTTCCTCCTTCACTTTTATAGGTATGCAGGAGTCCTCGCATCAGGACACTACTCCTGCCACTACCAGCAGCCCCTCCCCCCGCTGCAGAATGCACATGTTATCCTCATCCACACCAAATGGTCTCTCGTTTTCAAAACAGCCATGCTTCAGCCCGATACATGCAATATGTTATCCATCACACCCTTCTAGCCTGCTGACACTTGTGGATTTTCAGTGAATTAGACTCCGTTCAGAACGCCTTTTCTAATCTGTTCAGCTGGAAGTATACCCGTTTCCACTGTGCCACAACTGTAGCCTTGGGAGAGCAAAAAAGAGCTTTCTTATGCATTTTCAACAAAAAGTGTTATTAAAAGCAAAGATTAAAGTATATGCACTTTTGTCTCTTGGATGTATAGAATGCCTATATGTTCTCCATAAACAAATTTATATATCAGAAATATGCTTCTTGCTCATTATGGAGGACAGATAGCTGTATCACTGGTGTATAATTTTTTTCTCTACATAGTAAAATAAAACAATCAGTGCGATTTAATAGCATGTAGATTTAAAAGTGTTGATTTATACTCCTAGTCTTCCGTATCATCTCTTTAAATAATTATTCATTGTGCTGCATAGATAATAATGAATATAAGTACTAAGCCTAAAAATTCCAATTGTGAATTTCAAATATATTAAGGCATTTTCCCCCTGTACCTCACTTAAAAATGAAGAGAACTAAAAATGAGGATATATGAGTGGCTGTGCTTTCTTTTTTGGATAGTTGTGTTGAATATGTGCTAATGTGCTCTGTAATCTCAATCTGTGCCTCTTTCAATATTGTTCTGAATGAACAAGGAGAGGCGCCATGATCCAAGTCAGCCTAACTTGGTATGATTTTTAAAAAAATAAGTAATCACTGATGATTTATAAATGAAGGCAAATATATTTGTAGTTTACTACAAATAACAGATAGCAAACGGATTGCATTAAACAAATCTGCTGCAAAAGACCTCATTAAATTGTTGAAAAGCCAGGATGTTACTTTGAGGACTAAGGTTTGCCTGATCTATGTCATGCTATTTCGATCACCTCATATGCATCTGGACAGAAGAAGAATTGATGTGCTTGAATTATGGTGTTGGTGAAAAATATTGAAAGAACCATTGACTACCAAAAGAACAAACCTATCTGGCTTGGAAGACCAGTTGGAATGCTCCTTAGAGACAAGAATGGTAAAGCTTCATCTCCTGGTCTTTGGACATGCTGCCAGGAGAGACGGGTCCCTGGAGCAGAACATCATGCTTAGTAAATAGATGGGCAACAGAAAAGAGGGAGACCCTTGAAGAGATGGACTGACACAGTAGCTACAGCCCAGCAATAAGCTCACACTAAGAACAACTGTGAGCATGGCACAGGACCTTCTGTTGTGTATAGGATTGCTATGAATCAGAAATGGCTAGATGTACCTAACAACAACTAGAGGGGCCTACACAATATGAAATCTGTTATATATGATATGTACATAAATATATAGATAATAAATCTATGAAAGAACCATTTATTATACACAAGGCTACATTGTTGTTAGGTTCCATTGAATCAGCACCTGCTCTTGTACAACAGAACAAAGCACCACTGCGTGAATCCATCTCCTTCAGAGTCGTCTTATTTCACTGGCCCTCTATTTTACAAAGCATGGGGTTTTTTCAAGGACAGTTCCCTCATACAAATATGTCCAAGTGTTTGAGCTGAAGTCTTGCTGTCCTTGCTCGTGAGGAACATTCTGACTGGACTTCCTCTGAGGCAGGTTCATTTCCTCTGGCAGGCCATTGTACTTTTAGTATTTTTTGTGAAGGCTTTAATTGAGCTAAATCAATCCTTCTCTGATCTTCTTTGTTTATTTTACTTCTCTCACATTCACTTGAGGCAATTGACAAACTTGGCATGGGTCTTGCATAACCTGGGCCTCAAAGCACTAACTCTGTTCTCGAATGCTTTGAAGACTTTGTGTGCATCCAATTTGCCCATGGTATGATTTCTTGACTCTTGGTTCCATGAGATTTAATTATTATTCCAAGTAAAATGAGATATTTTACAACAGCACTATCATCAAGGTTTGTAAGGATGTTGTCTATTGATCCAACAATATATAAATCACTCTTAAATTTAGTACAAGCAATATAAAAATTTAAATTGTGAGTCCTTTCTATCCTGCATAATTCAGTGAGAGCAACAATTGTGTCATTTCCTCTTTTTATCACCTTGGCTGAGAGAATGACAACCGTTCATAGACTGTAAAAAATAGATATTTTGAGTTTAAAGGAGTTTCATATAAGACTATCTGTAGGTTAGAAACACATATAATGAACGTTATGGCCAGGATTGCAGTTCAGGTTCTCCTCATGTGAGCCCTGCAGTACAATATTTAAACCATCTTTCAGCAGGTAAATTTGTTTGTTTCTGCTGTGCATGGAAGGAGACATGGAATTGCAAATAAATTAAATTTAAGAACACTTAAAAGGCATAGTCAAGTGTTTGTCATTATACTTTATAAACATGAGCTCGTGATAACTGCCTACGTTTTTTGTCTTTTTAGAAATTTGATCATATACCAAGAACTTAGTCATTTACTGTGAGCAAATGAAAAAAAGTCTTCTTACAGAGTTTAAAACCTTTTCAGTTTAGTCAAATGTCATACAACTACTCTCCCACTTTCCAAATACCAGACGATATTTTACATTGTAGCATAAATGATTATGAAAACAATTAGTTAAGTTAAATCTAATTGAGGTGTTTAAGCTACAATATAGAGACATTTCAGGAGACAAAAGAAAAATAACATTTTGAATATTTATTTATCAGTATATACTTCTTCCAAAAGGAACATTTTAGATGTTGTTCAGAATTGAAGTTTCATATTTGACTGTTAAATATTAAGCCATTAACAGAAAAATAAAATTGAGTTTAAATTCACATACGATATCCGTTTGTCCTGTGTTCTAGTGAGACAAGAACTTATTCCAACAAGAATTGCTCTGTTATTCAATGGTTTTCCTTGCAGAAAATTTATTTCTTCCATTTTTTCCAATACCTTTCTTTAGTTTGACTTCTTTTAATCTTTTATTTTTGTTAACTCATAAATTAGTCTATTTTGAGTTTTCTTCTATTTGCTTTATTTTTCTCATTGTTATATTCTGTTGATGACTGTAATTATTAAACTGAAGGTGACAGGTATCAGAACAATATAAACTCAGAGGTGAGCTAATTGCTTCCTTCTTTGGCATTTTCTTTTTCAGGACTATGCTGTGAAGGAAAATACCATAGCGAAAGCTCTAGAAGACTTAAAGGCCAATTTCTACTGTGAACTCTGTGACAAGCAGTACTACAAGCATCAAGAATTCGACAATCACATTAATTCTTATGACCATGCACACAAGCAGGTAAGAAATATGTATCCAAAACTATCTCCAAAGTTGGTAATAGCAATTTCAATTATGTATACCTTATGAGTACAGTATTCCACCATTTGTAAGCCATTTTGTCATATTGGGTTGGGTTCTATGTTATTAGGATGCTGAAAGCTGTACCACTGTATTTCAAAGAAAGATCACCCATGATGGACGGGTTTCAGGAAGGTTCCAGACCCAGATAAATCTCGAAACCCCACAGGGGCAGGTCCACTCGGTCCTATGGGGTTGCTATGAGTCAGAATCGGTATGTCAGTGAATTAATAACTAGCTTAAATATTTATTATTACTTGAAACAATAATAAACATTATGAAATATTTAGTTACTTCAGAAGCAAATCATAAAGTGAATGTTTTTGCTTATTTTTGTAATCTATACAAGAAACAGGTAAACTCAAAATCCATATTCATAGCAATCCCCTTAATGTAGGTTAACATACGAGTAGGTCATTACGACACTTCAAGGCATGAGTTAAAAACAAAAACAAAAAACACGAAGAGGCCAACACTAGAGGCATTTGGTGGGCTGAGAGATATAGTTCCATTAAATCCATAAATAATGCCAAGAAAATTAGTGTTAGAACAAGTTCTGTGATTTGCAAGTTCTGACTGATTTTGAGTAAAATATTTAAAGACTCAGTAATATTTGTTTTTATAAAAAGACTGAACAAGAAAATTAACATGAACAAATACATGGAAATATTAAAAGCTTGGTATTAAATTACTTTTATATTATAGTTTCTTACTGAAGCATCTCTTTTCTTTGAACCATTTTGGAATGACATAAACAACTTGCCCTTGATATTTCATCCAAGCATTAAGCTTCCCATTAAGGATCCATTTTTGTTTGGTGTGGTGTAGCTTGGTTTAATATAGGTTTATTAAATCTATAAAACTTCCATTTGTCTTGAAAATGTGTGTTATGACAAAATATGTGTCGGTTTTACACTCTAAAGGAAAGTGCATCTCTCATAGACATGCTATTTGTGTAATCTCAAGTTTCTCTTAAATGCTTATTGTGCTAGTTTGGGTAGACCAGAGAAACAAAGCCATGGACACAAATATGTGTATGAGAAAGAGATTAATATACAAGAGCAAGTGAACATTGAGAAAACATCCCAATCCAGTCCAAAGTCATAAGGCTGGTATTACCCCATTGTCCAACACCAGTCCATAAAGTCTTCAGACTCACAAAACACATGCAATGATGCATAACAATCACAGGCCAGTGGCTGCCAAGTCAGTGGTGGTAGAAGCATCTCAGCACTGGAAGGGGTCTCCACGTGGCCATTCCAGTTCCCAGGGCTGCATCAGGGTAAGTCTATGTGGCATCTCCTCAGGGTTGCCTCCCAGGAAGTCAGCCTTGTCAATAGAGAGTCTCCAAGGGAGTGAACTGAGAGACATCGTGTCTCTCACCTCCAAGAAGGAATTACCAGATTTCCCAGAATTCTCAGGAGATGGCCATGCCCACACAGAAGTCACCTTGGCTATATCCAGAATGACAGCCTAGACTCCACCCCTACACTCTTAATCCTTAAACTGACACCTGATTAGGTGACTACCATACTTATCACAGATATGGCTTACAGGTTTTAAAAGAGAAATATGAATAGTTGTACAGAAGCGTTTGCAACAATTTACAAATAAAAGTATAATTCTGTTGGGTTTTTTTTAACTTTGTAACTCTAGAGCCATCATTTGGTAATTCTTTAAGGGCAAATCCGTATATTGCATTTCTGATAGCCTCTAGCACAACATTTTGATGTAAACACCCAATCACTGATTTCCTTATGTATAAATTACAAAAAAACTGCCAACTAAATTACTTCTAAATTTTTTAAATAAGTCATATTCAAGTGTGGTAGTTACAAAATCTGGTGTCAATTTGAGGATTAAAAGTGTAGGGATAGAATCTAGCCTGTCAATCAAAATATAGTCAATGAGACCTGTGTGTGGGCATGGCCTTCTCCTTAGAATCCTAGACACTCCTGTCTTTTCTCCTTGGAGGTGAGAGACACTCTTTCTCTGCTCACTCCCTGTGAGACATTTCTGAGGAAAAGCCACATGAAGCTACCCTCATGCAACCAGAACCCTGGGAGCTGGAGGAACCATGTGGAAATCCCTGCCAAAGCTAAGATGATTGCAACGCCACTGGGTCCACATGACTTCCCACCCACTGGCCTGTAATCTTCCTGCTTTTGGCATCATTGCATATGTTTTATCAGTCTGATGAGGACTTTATAGAATGGTATAGAACATTTGGGCTAATATCAGACTTAGGGACTTAATCTAGACTGGACTGGGATGTTATCTCAATATTCAATTGTTCTTGTATATAAAGCTCTTTCTTATACATATATGAGTGTATCTATGAATTTGTTTCCATAGTCAACCCAGACTAATACATCAAGGCAGGGAATGGTTTATTAAGATAAATTACTTTTTAAAAAAATATTTAGTAATAGATTTACTCATAAATAACACTGTTAGAATTTTTTTGTGTCAGGCAACTATGACAATGCAGATGTATTATTTGAGCTCTTTCCACATTCACAAGTGTTTGTTCCTCAAAGGGTTTTTTGTTTGTAATAATAGCAACAGCTTCAAAAGTATATGTGTCTTTATTATCACACTTTTCATATGAATAACATCATTAAATCTGAGAGATGATGATTTGTGTTGAGGTTCAAGGTCAACACTTATGATATTAAATGGAATTATTATCAACAATAGTGCTTTGAAGAACAAATACTTGGCTGTATTTAATCTATGTGAAAAATGTTTTAAATGGCTCTGAAATACATCAGGGCTGTCATTTCTAGTTGGATTACATACTAGATCCTCCAAAGGACCCTTGTACTATAAAATAAATAAATAGAAATCTTCCACAAAACAAAGTTTTTAATGAAGTGCTGCATTCATGGGAAAGAAGCTATCTAAAAGCACTACTCTATTGGGGGGTGAAGATGTAAGAACTATAAGCTAAATCTAAGCATAAAGTACTAACAATATGCAAATTGTGAAACTGCATGGAAGATTTGGTACAGCTAGGAACCTTGTAGACTTAAAAAATAGCCTTTCTAACAACATTGCATGTATGTACTAAGACTTTTGGCATAAGGTGAACATTGAGCCTAGGTTTTGGACTGAAATATATACAAACTACATCTGAGGGCAATGTAGCCTCCATTATATCCCACACACACACACACATAACTATTACTAAAAGTGAGGCCACCCAAGTACTTAGATATTAAAATTCAGATACAAAATTACATATACAAATCTATAGATAGTTGAAACTTTTTAATAAATAAAAGGAGGAATAAAAATAAAATACAAGGAGCTATAAATAATGCTTGGGATAAATTTAACAATGAATGCATGAACTTTTCATAAAAGACAACTATAATTGTCAAAATCAAAATATTTGGTTACAGGTTAAAAAGGAGATTGGCCACAGGTGGAGGTGAAAATGTAGACATATAAGAGAGAGATTAGTTGCTTGTTGATTTGGTAAATAAACAACAATTGTTAGTGAGGAGTTTAAAACGTAAGCATTCAGAAAAAAAAGTCAAACATTTTGAAGTTTTAGAAAAACATGTTAAAGGATTATATTAATGAATTTAGAATGTGTACAAATATTTTAAGGCATTAAGAGCATAAATAGTTGTAGAAAATATTCATGCATTTAACTACTGCACAATATTTTCCTCAAAACAATGGTAAATAAGTGAAAAACAGTAAGAAAAAAATTAGGAAGTTTTAGCATTTAAACCTTATTTGAAAGTATCAATGAAGATAATGAAATCAACCCAGTACAATACTGGATAAAAATAAACACTAACAATTGTATATATATGTATAGATTTACAATATATATTATATATGTATTTATATGTAAAGAAATATTAATAAATATTAATAAAGCATCGATTTTACAACCACTAGACTGGAAAATATCATTTTTTAACATGGAGTGATAATGATATGGAGCATAATAAACTTTTACACATCCTTTGCAAAAATGTCAATTATTTGGAAACTCAGCAAGATGAACTTAAAAACTTGTATATTACCAGATCAGAAAAGCAAACATTTCAATATTAAGCATGCACCTTCTAGAATGTTCTCAGTTTAATTTTTCTGTATCTTTGCCTGAGTATTTGTGAGAAAACAAAAATTCAAACCTTTCCTTAAATCTACCCAATCAGAAACACTTGGGATAGGGCCACCATGATCAGTGTTATTTTAAGTCCTTCAGGCAATTATAGTACACAGGAGTTTTCATTGCCCTAGAGAAATTATTGCACATGTACTCTTGAAGATATTTACAAGAGGGTTCATTGAAGCATTGTTAATTTAAAAAAATAGAAAGCCTATTACTAACGCTAATAAAATTGTAAATAAATTGTGATATATTCACATAACGCAAAATTGCTCTGTGGCAAAATAAACCAGCTATAGGTACACATAACATGAAAGAATACTAGAAGTATAAGACTGAGTGAACAAAAATTCTCCAAGAATGACACCTTTTTAATGTATGAAAATAAGCAAACTATTGCTTTAAAATATATGAAAATATGTGACTAATCTCTTTTTTAATGGAAAATTAAAAGTAGAAACAATATGACTTATCTTTTTGTAGATATAAATTCTGGGAACATTTAAGCAAATGAAATTATATTATGGTGTCAGTGCAGTATATTAAAAGTACAATGGATTACCAGAAAAACAAACAAATTTATCTCAGAAATACAGCCAGAATGCTCCTTATAATTGAAGCTGACAAGATTTTGTCTCACATACTTTGAACATGTCTTCAGGGGACACGAGTCCCTGGAAAAGGACATCACACTTGGAAAAGTAGAGAATCGGGGCAGGGGGTGGGGGGTGACCTTAAAGGAGACTGACTGACAGCACGGATGGTTGCATCAGTGGCCTCAAACTTCCGAACTGCGTGATAACAC